ACTGCACCCCCTTCTGGCCAGTCTGGTAGAGCTGTACATACAGTACTTTTCGATTTGGTGTTCTGGATTCATGATGTCTCTCAGTATTTTACACGAATTTATGTCTCCCCTCCCCTCCTCGCCCCTCTCTCCTCCTTCGTTTCCCCCCTCCTCCCTGCTCATACTCAATACCGAATTCCCTCCCTTTCTCCCTCGTTTGGTACTCAAGCTTCCAGCACAACTATGTGCCACCAAATTACGATTCACAAAAACCCCTCTTGTTTGCTATAAAAGCACACCTCGCTTCCCCATTTGGTACCCGAACATACGATATTCCTTGTGCATGTGTGAGCTAAAGATTTCAAAATCAGCCTAACCTGCGCACCATCTTGTTTTTCGCAGTTTTTTTGCTAATCCCTTAAACGAATGCATTTCGCACGTCTATACCAAGTAACCACTGATCGGCCTGACTCGATTTGCTCGGTCTGATTCGGCGTTTTCGAGTTCATTATGTGTTTTTGCATATTTATGCAAATAGTAATACTCGTTAACAGAAGGTTGTTTGCTCTGTTTCAATGGGATGTGGTAAAGTAGGACGGCCGAGGATTTCTTGTAGGATTAAAGGGCATAGGTGGAAGATGAATGAGAATCCGGTTGCTGTCCAGATACCCTTCAGATCTGGCTGGTGTCGAGCATAGGCGGGTCTAGAACGGATTCCTGAGAGGGGGAGGGGGTACTGGTGGTGGGGAGGAGAATCCCCTGCCGCCCTGAAATTATGCAAAATCTAGGGATTGTTTTGTAGTACTGCTACTTGGAGTTACTTTAGGCTTTAGTTTATCTTAGTTTTAGCTTTAGACCCGGACTTTTGTAGCACTGGTGTCTGTGCCAAAGACTTTAGCCCTTCTGGATCCGCCTATTGATATCGAGGTAAAAATCTCTTCATATCCTGCTGCTGACCAGGCACACCCCTCAGATTCGATTTTTGTCCAGAAACCCTTCAGATCCGAATGCTGTTCAGATATCCTGTGGACCCGGCTGCTGCCCTGGCACCGTTTAGATCCGGTTGCTATCCAAATATCCTGCTGTGTAGTTGTTGCCCGGTCAGCTTGCGAATTTGACTGTTGTTCGAGTAGCACACGAGTCCTGTTATTCTTTGAACACCCTGCTGGTTGCTGTCCTGGCACTTTTGAACTTGTTTGTTGTTCTGATACTTTACTGGTATGGTTATTATCCGATTTTTTTTTTTTTTTTTTTTTTTGCAGATTCGCTTGTATTGTT